ATGTGAAGTTGACTGCCTTCTTCTATATTTATGGGATACCAGTGTTTATTTTCCTTTGTTGTTGTTTACTTTATCTATTTTAATTTCTTTATTTGTTTTTAGCTGAATTGGCCTATGAATTACAATTATTTTTCCTCTTTTGTAATTTGTCCTGCACTTTGCATACTGTCTTCAGTAAGAACTCTTTACTGTTTTGTATGTATAAAATTACTGAACTCAAGTTTTGTGGCTTCTGCTGATGTTTCATAGCTAGAAAATCCTTTTCCTTCCAGCATTATGAGCTAATTTCCCTTAAGTTTTTTTTATCATTTTAATATTTATGTCTTCACACATTTAGAATTGTAAGATACACTTTCAGGCACTGATCCAACTTTTTCCAGAAAGCTACTTGATGCTTTTAACATCATTTAATAAGTAATCTACATTCATCATATACTAAATTCCCAATTTCAGATAACTTTCTATATCTCTAAATTGATTTGTGTAACAGTAATTGTATAATAATCACATATCTGTCTCCTTTCAACACAAACCAATTCTAATGTTCATAAAATAATACAGTGTGCTTTCAGAACTTAAACCTTTTTCAGTGATGTTGAAGCTTGAGATGTGGGTAAAAGAATGCATTGTGTCAAAGCATAGCTAAATTATAAAATTGGTGTCTTAGACATTTAATTTCAAGATTGGGAGATTGACTCTTATGGTTTTATAAGTGTTTTTAATAAATAGTTTTTTACTAAAAAAAAAAGGCCAAAACAGGCATATCCATTATAACAGTAAAAGAAAATATTTTTCTCATTTTTAATGTACTCCCATTTTTAAAATTCCAGAGGACCTGACTGGGACACTGAATTGTATGAAGAAGGAGGTGCTACTGTCAGGGAGCTTCTTAGCGAACTATATGGCAAAGTTGGTGAAATTCGGCACTGGGGTCTGATCCGATACATCTCTGGGATCTTAAGGAAGAAGGTGGAAGCACTTGATGAGGTACTAATAAGTTCTTGAAATTACTCAAAATCTAAGTGGGGAATACTTTAAAACTCCATGCTGGGAGCATAGCACAAAGGTAGGGTAGTGCTTACTTTTCCTGGAATCCTCGGTTCAAGCCTTTGCACTGCAGAGGGATACCTTGATTTTCCTAATTGTTTTTTAAACAACTGCAACTTCTAATTGTTTTCAATTGCACGTAAAGTTTCTGATACTCAGCTTTTTATTTGTGAATGTTTGGAAATCTGAAAATTTTGGAAAGGGTAAGTAAGCTCTGCTCCCTCTTCATAGGCCTGCACAGACCTTCTCTCATACCAGAAACACCTGACGGTAGGACTTCCTCCAGAACCTCGCGAGAAGACAATCTCTGCGTGAGTGGGGCATGTGGTTGGCTTTTTATAAGGTTTCGCTGAGCCTTTAAGAAATTGGGTGAACTTGCCACAATTCTCTTGTCCTAATTTGTATACACCTTATATATACAGAGCTGCAGAACAGGAAAATGATGGGATACAAGCAAATGAAAAGAGAAAACTTATTGATTTTTCTAAATCCCTTAATTCTACTCATTCTAAAAACACACAAAGCACAGAACATTGGGAGTTGACAACATAAAAGGCAACCACAATCTGAAAAAGAAATAGAAGAAAGTATATGGCTAGAGCATTGGGCTGTTATATGCACCTCTATGCTGCTGAAGAAGGAATCAAAGGTGTGAAGGTTAAAGTTGAAAGGGGAAATGGGCACTCACAAAGCACCCCGAGTGCACGGCTGCAGGAACACCACCATCAGCTTCTTTCTTTGTAGCCATTATGCTTATTTGTCACATGGTAAAGATTAACAGTGAAACACTGGTCTGGAAAGACATCGAGGGGTGAGTTTTAAATGAAAGTTCTGTTAATATGGCAAGAGTGTGCCTCAGAGGCAGGGCGTGGGAGTTTTGCTGTGAAAGAACTACACTTGGTAAGCTGTTGTGGCAGGGGTTTGGACTTGCACTGAGGTTTTAATTTTTAAAATATATTTAGGCTAAATGATGGTAGACTTTGGACTTCATTCACTGTTTTCTTCCTTAGACCTCTACCATATGAGGCACTCACTAAGCTAATAGACGAAGCCAGTGAAGGAGACATGAGTATTTCAATCCTTACACAGGTGGGCAGCATTAAAAAGCCTAACCTGGCAATTGATGTTTCAGTATTTGTTTTTAATTGACCTGACAACTTGCAAAACAGACATTGTGACACTCTAACTTTTGTTTATATCCATTCTGTACACAGGAAATAATGGTATATCTTGCCATGTACATGAGAACTCAGCCTGGCCTCTTTGCTGAAATGTTCCGACTTCGAATTGGTCTGATCATCCAAGTTATGGCAACAGAACTGGCTCACTCTCTTCGATGCTCAGGTATTCATTTAATTCAGTAACTAATTGTAAGTGGAATTCACTTCTAGGGCAGATCCATGAAGGTTGAAATCAGGACGGGAAGGAAGAACATTTTATTGATCCATTGTTGTTGATTATTTACTCTTTTTATTACTATTTTTTTTTTTTTTGGCAGAGGGCCTGCCACTCAGCTACCAAATAAATCACACTGGCCTTAGCTTGGCTTGTTTCTAGCCAGCTTTTCTAAATTTAAATCATCCCCTCTATCTTTTGCCTCCAGGCTTTTATCTTTCTCTGTTTCTGTGTGCTTTTCTTTACATCTTTCTCTATGTCTTGCTGTGTAGTTAGGTGGCTGGCCCCTGATGTCCTCCTCTCCTTGTTCTAAGTTGCTCCTTCTTCTCCCCTCCCAGATTTCTCCTCCTATTTATTCTCTCTGCCTGCCAGCCCCGCCTGTCCTTTCTGCTGCCTTGATATTGGCCATTCAGCTCTTTATTAGCCCGTCAGGTGTTTTAGACAGGCAAAGAACCACATCTTCACAGAGTTAAAACAAATACAACATAAAAGAATGCAACACAACTTTGCATCATTAAAACAAATTTCCACAGCATAAACAAATGTAACACATCTTAAAATAATATTTTATAACAATCCATAGCTCAAAAACTGTGTAAGACTGTCTTGTTCTTGTGTTTCTTAGTAACTAAGTGAGCAAAAAGATGGCAACTTCAAAATGCCACTTCTTGTAGACTCTGCATTCCACATTCTTCTTAACCAAGTTCTTTTACCTGATTTCTTCCTGATGCCTCAAGGGCTTTAGAGACTGGTATTCTGTGTTGGGGTCTGATGGAAAGAAGGAAGCTTCTGGACATCAGTGTGAGTCACTGAGTGGTATATCAGAGTATTAATGGTCTGTCAGGATCATGATCAAGTAAGGAAGTATTTTATTAACACTTATCTAACAAATGTAGTAGTACTTTCTCATCAAGATTGCCAGTCTGCATGTAAAGACCCAGAGACTTTTTATTATGAAAGTTTGGCCTTAGCTTAGACTTGTTCCTAACTACCCTTTATAACTTAAATTAACCCGTATTTTTTTTTTTATTCTACATTCTTCCACGAGGTTCATTACCTCATTTCCTCACTGTCCATCCTGTTTCCTCTGTGTCTGGCTGGTAGCTCTGCCTTTCATTTTCCCAGAGTCCTCTCTGTCCCTAGAAGTCCTGGCTAACCTCTTCTTAACTAGCTATTGGCCATTCAGCTCTTTATTAAACCAATCAGAAGGCACATCTTCACAGTGTAAACAAATATTCTGAAACATTTCTGGTTTTTTCTAAATAAAAAGGAAAGTTATCTCTAACACAATAAAACTATATACAATAAGAATCAGGTACGAATTACATTCACAACATCGAGTTTATTTGTATCTGGCAAATCCAGAGAAACTACTCTATTATCTATCTTATCTTGGTAAATTCAAAGTCTTGTACCTGATTTACTTCCTTTTATAACTATGGAAAACTGTAACTATAACTATCTAATCCTCAACCACTGAAAGGATATAATATTACCTGAAAAAACAGGAAGTACAGAGAAAGCAACTTCTAAACCTAAGAAACAACAGAAATACCTAGCTGCTTGGACAGTCAACCCAAGGTTCCTCTGTAACTTTGGGGCATCCATCTTTGGCCTATGGGCCTAGAACATCTGACAGACTTTTCTATGAAGCAGACTATCCTACCTTATCTTGGCAAAGTTCAGCAGTCACCTTCTTTTGCGCCCTGCTTATCCAATTTGGACAGTATACATATCAGCAATCAAGGCAAGGGCAATTTCTTGCCCAGTGGCTATCTTTGCCACAGTAAAAGTAAACTCCACATGAAGGTTCTTCAGTGTCCATCATTCTTTAATGAAGTAGATTGGTGTTGCCAGGAGCAGATATGTCTCATTGTCATGAAAAGCCTTATGTTATCAAAACATTTTTAAATGTCATAATCTGTACATCTTTGAGGTGTTTGAAGACCATCTACCTATTTGAAATATTTCTCTGATTGACCTTGAAAACATACCTAACATGACCATTAACTTGATTGTATAGATGACTAACTACTATCCTGTATATCTTTTATTATCCTAAATAGTTTTTAAGGACTAGAACTTTATGTTACATTTTTTTTTTTGGTTTTTTGAGACAGAGTTTCTCTATGTAACATCCCTTGCTGTCCTGGAACTTGCTCTGTAGACCAGGCTGGCCTCAAACTCACAGAGATCTGCCTCTCAAGTCCTGGGATTAAAGGCATGTGTCACCACTGCCTGCTTTTTATGTTACATGTATAAATGAGCTACATAGGTTCAATACATTAAACAAGTGTAGGAACATGAATTTGTATCAACATACAAAACTCCATAGCAATATTTGAGATTAATGTTCCTTCCCCACTTTTTCAAGAAAAAAATCTCTTAATCTAACCTACTTTGTTTAGTTTTTTCCCTGAGCATGACAAGTAACACCTTGCAGAAAAGTCCCCTAAATAATGACACACATCCATAGCCCACCCAACAACCAAAAAATCGCCCACCCCACCTCTTGAGAATGGGAGTGTCATGTTCTCTAGACTGCTTCCTGTTGTCTGGGGGTGATGGCATCTTTAGGACACCCTGAGAAAAATTTGGATAATGGTCAAGTCCTGAAAGAGCTAGCTGTATAATTTTTATTTTGTCTCTGTGTGATGGGAAAGTGTAGATAGAACTTATTTGAAGTCCCAGCTGGAGTAGTCTGTGATGCTGGACCATCTCAGCTAGCAGCTGAGATCTGGTTGTTCTGGATGCAGAACTTTGTAACAGAACTGTAACAGAAGCATTCGGAGAGCCTGAATCACCAGGGCTACTTGTCTTCATTGGTATCTGGTCTTTTTGTTCTGAAAACACACAAACTTTTAAAGGTAACATACATATCTGCATTAATATAAGTATGGAATGTGCGGTGTGTACAAGTCAGCTAAAGATTATTTTTTTATTTTATGTGTGAGCAGGTAAAAAAGCATTTGTCAACTTTATAAGTGCATTTGGACTATATAACCAAATTGCTATAGAAATATCTGTCTATATGAAAGTATGGCATGTAATAATGAGTCTTGAGGACTCTGTAGCCAACAAGATATATCATGTCTCATCCAGTCCCAGAGCTGTTCCATGACAAGGGATCAGCATATATGTCATCTGTCCTGTAGTCTTTCCTGGCTTCCTCTGGCATGTCTACAGCCAAGATCCTCAGGAGGTCTCCCACATCAAACCTGATCATTATAATTTTGAAGACGTTTAGGCTTTGCATTTCCTGTGGAAACAAAGCACAACCTCTCCCACAATGCAACACATTTCCTAGCTTTCATTATAAAGCCAAGACATCCCTAAAGTATATAGGCTGGTTTAATTTAGCAGTCTCTTTCAGAATCCAGTGTCTCTCAGCAGCAGCCATTCTCTGTTAATTAGCCTTTTAAAAAATCAAAATTATCAAAGCACCATATAAGGTACAAACTCCCTTATTATAATGTTTCCCATTCTTAAGTGGCTAATTTTTAATATTATTGATTTTTATTGAGCTGTATATTTTTTTCTACTCTCCTCCCTGCCTCTCTTCTGCCCTGCAACCCTCTCCAAGGTCCCCATGCTCCCAATTTACTCAGGAGATCTTGTCTTTTTCTACTTCCCATGTAGATTAGATCCATTTATGTCTCTCTTGGGGGTCCTCATTGTTGTCTAGGTTCTCTGGGATTGTGATTTGTAGGATGGTTTCCTTTGCTTTATGTCTAAAAGCCACTTATGAGTGAGTACATATTATATTTGTCTTTCTGGGTGTTGGTTACCTCACTCACAATGCTGTTTTCTAGCTCCATCCATTTGCCTGTAAAATTCAAGCTGTTGTTATTTTTTTCTGCTATGTAGTACTCTATTATGTAAATGTACCATATTTTCCTTATCTATTCTTCAGTCGAGGGGCATTTAGGTTGTTTCCTGGTTCTGGCTATGACAAACAAAGCTGCTATGAACATAGTTGAGCACATGTCCTTGTGACACAATTGAGCATCCTTTGGATGTATACTCACAAGTGGTATTACTGGGTCCTGAGGAAGGTTGTTTCCTAACTTTCTGAGAAATCACCACAATGACATCCAAAGGGGCTGTACCAGCTTGAACTCCCACCAGCAATGCAGGAGTGTTCCCTTTACTTATCTTAGGTTTGTTCCTAACTACTTCTTATAACTTAAATTAAATAATATTTTTAAATCTGTGTTCTTCCACAAGATTACCTCATCTTCTTACTGTTCATCCTGCTTCCTCCATTATCTGGCTGGCGACTCTGCCTTTATTCTTTCCAGAGTCCTCTCTGTCACTGGAAGTCCTGCCTAACCTCTTCCTGCCTAGCTATTAGCCATTCAGCTCTTTATTAAAATAATCATGAGGCACCTTGGCAAAGACATATCTTCACAGTGCAAACAAATACTCCACAACAAACAAGACTTGAAAATTATTTATAGATTTGCCAAGATAACAATTTTAGTTAGAAAAATAATTGGGGGCCAAGGAAGTTATACAACAGACTTGTCAAACAGGTTTATCTAACCTTGATAGTGCTACATAACCTTTGCCAATTATTAAGTTCATGCTTGAAGACCATGTAATTGAGTTTAAAAGAAGTGAGATAGTGTTGGTACACACCTTTAATCCCAGCACTCAGGAGGCAGAGGTAGATGGATATCTGTGAGTTCAAGGCTTACCTGGTCTACAGAGCAAGTTCCAGGACCACAGAGAAACCTATCTCAAATAAACAAACAAAAAAACATAAAGAAAGAAAAGAAAAAAAAACAGAGGAGGGTTGGGTGGTGGTGGCGTATGCCTTTATTCCCAACACTTGGGAAGTAGAGGCAGGCAGATCTCTTGAGTTTGAGGCCAAAAATTTTATCAATTTCTATTCTTGCAGATTGGTGTCTTCTCTGAATTCCAAACAATCACTGGTTATATTTCTCAGTTAACCTGTATATACAATATTTTGTTGTTTTTATTGTTTCTCTAGTTTACATGTTGTTCTATCCCTCCAAAATTAATAGTCAGCCTCTCAAAGTTAGGTACTATGTATTATACCTGCTTGTACTTACATTGCTTAAAATAATGACCCATATGTAGTATGCTCCTTGTAAATGAATAATGTTGAAGAACACATTCAAGTTATTTTCAGTATTCTTAGTAAATTCACCAACTCACCTCTGTTCTCTTTTAACCATATACACTGAGAAATTTTCAGTTTAACTGTGTGTGCATATACATTCATTGCTTTTCTCTGAATGTCTTCCATTCCTCTTGATAGCCTTCATTCTTCTCACCCTCATATAAAAACTGTATGGCGTTTCCCAGAAATGTTGTAATATGATGAAGAAGAAATTAGTGGGCAACCTAATCTAAAATCTAGGTAGTCAGTTCTTAAATAATTAAAATGTGGTGCTGTATGAATAGCCAATTTATGTTGTTAGAAATTTATTCTGTAACTGCATCTTCTAAAGTGAGTGACTTAGAAATCCTATTAAAGGAAATAGAGGGTCTAATCCCCATCTAAGAGGAGAGGAAAGGGCACATCCAAGTGAGAGACCAAGTGTGGTCACATGTGCCTGCAATTCTATCACGTTATAGACTGAGGCAGGAGGATGACAAGTTTAATACTAGCCTCAGTTGGGCCAGGCAGTGGTGGAGCACACCTTTATTCCCAGCACTTAGGAGACGGAGGCAGGAAGATCTCTGTGAGTTCAAGGTCACCTGGTCTAGAAAGTGAGTTCCAGGACAGCTAGGATATACAGAGAACTATGACATACAGAGAAACTATGTCTTGAGGAAAAAAAAAATTACCCTAGGTTGCATATTGAGATCCTGTTTCAAGGAGAGAATGGGAAGTAAGGAGGATATGGTGGGCAAACTAGAATTCCTCTGCATGCATTTCTGTTCATTAGCTGAAGAAGCCACAGAGGGCCTGATGAATCTGAGTCCTTCTGCCATGAAGAACCTCCTGCACCACATCCTCAGTGGCAAAGAGTTTGGAGTGGAACGAAGTGGTAAGACCCAAGCGCTGAATTTACACTTCAGGGTACTTCATTTTAATTTTCCATTTTAGGATGTTTTCCTTCTAACAGAGGGTATCTTGGCTCCCAAATAAATAAAACTTAAATGGATAAAACATTTAAAAGCAAAGCTATCTTTTGGAACAAGATTTGCAAACTAAAAGACAAATTCAATTTAAGAAAAGATTTTGGACTGGGGAAATGGCTCAATGGGTAAAGTGCTTGCCACACACACTTGATGATCTGAGTTTGGATCTATCACTTCTCCAAAAGCTGGGCTCAGTAGCTTGTGTCTGTAATCCTAGCTCACCCTTATCCTAGTCTGCCTATAGCAGTGTGGTAAACACCATGACCAAAAGCAACTTGCAGAAGAATACGTTTATTTGGCTTCCATGCACTTCAGGAACTGAAGTGGAGGCCATGGAGGAATGATACTCACTGACTTGCTCCTCATGGCTCACTTAGTCAGTTCTTTATACCACCTTTCCACAATATCCTGGGCCTTCTTACATCACTAATCAGGAAAATGCCCAATAGACAGTCTGTTGAAAGCATTATTTCAATTGAGGTTCCCTCCTCTCAGATGACTCCAGTTTCTGTTAAATTAACAAAACAAAGCTAACCAGGGGAGATGGGAGGCAGAGACAGGAGAATCTCAGAAGCTTGTGGCCAGCTAGCCTGGCATATGTATCATTGAATAGGAGAGGCTCTGTCTGAAACAAGGTTGAAGTCAGGGTCCAACACTTAAGGTTCTACTCTGCCCTCCACATGCACACCATGAGCAACATGTTTGCGCTCTCTCTCTCTCTCTCTCTCTCTCTCTCTCTCTCTCTCTCTCTCTCTCTCGCTCTCTCTCTCTCTCTCTCTCTCTCTCACACACACACACACACACACACACACACACTTTTTACAGAAGATTTGGAAATACAAGCATATGTGTAACTTCTTTTTCCTTAAATGATATGACAACTAAGTAAACTAATAGCTGTCATGTTTCATTAAAATTTTTATTTGCGCTTGCTTATTTATTGTCTGTCTGTGTGTATTGGGGGAGGGGTGCCACAGCACATGTATGGAGGCCAGAGGACAACTTGCAGGAGTCGGTTCTCTCCTTCCACCATGTATGTCCCACGAATTGAACTCAGGTCATCAGACTTTGTAGCGAGTGCTTGCACCTGCTGGGCCATCCCTCGTGTTTCTTTTTAACTATGTATTAAATTACCTTTCATTATCGTAAGTCAGGAAGACAACTAAAAATCCATTCTTAATCTTTTTTATATTCAAATTGGCAGTAATTCAGTAAAACTGATAATGTACGTGTATGTTTGCAGTCGCAACATATCCACTATATCCTTTCAACCTTAAATTCTAATATCTCTAAGAGTCTTTTACAAGCTAATCTTCATATGCACTTTTTACATTTTTATTAACAGGTTTTAATTTTATATATCACTGAGGGTACAAGCTTTGCTTTAGTACATGCTGTAGGTACTAAATCAAAACCAGTGTGTACTTTGGGTTTTTGAAGCATTATTCTTTTAAAGAAGGATAACAAGAACCTAACAAAGTTTTTTTTTTAAAAAAAAAGGATTATCATTTTTGGTTGTGAGCCTAGCCTTTAACGGCTGAGCCATAAACCGGGCGGTGGTGGTGCACGCCTTTAATCCCAGCACTCAGGAGGCAGAGGCAGGCGGATCTCTGTGAGTCGAGACCAGCCTGGTCTATAGAGCTAGTTCCAGGACAGGCTCCAAAGCCACAGAGAAACCCTGTCTCAAAAAACCAAAAACAAACAAACAAAAAAAAAAAGGATTATCATCTCCTATATTTAATCATTAATGTTGAGTTATTTTTTCAAGACAGGATGGCCAGACTTCAGCATGTTTTGTTTTTGAAGTCTGTTGTGTCCTTGCATGGCTACCAGGGACATATCTGACTGGGGTGATGAGGTAGTGAAGAAAAGACAAATATGTACAGACACACAGACACAGAAAAGCCGAAAGCAGTGGATTGGACTCTGACGGAGAAACCACAGCATCCCCAAAGCTCATTATATTTACTATATACAGTTGAATCGAGAGGTGTGGTTATTGCATACAACTGAACAAGGAGGCGGGTCTAGCTAAATCTCCATAGGAACAGTCTTAAGGCTGTAAACATCTGGGAAAAAAAAAACTAAGGTGGACATTTTCTGCAAACACTATCGATAGTCACATTCAGATCACCAAGGAGGACTTTTCTGTCCCTCTAAACCTCACCTGGGGAATGCTTTAACACTTCACACCCATGGGGCTAAGGTATTGAAATACTTGCCATGCCAGTGTCAACAGCACACGTTCACTTAGGAGTTCCTCCACTCGCCACAAAAGTTAGAAAGTATAGGAGCTGAAGAGACAGCACAGTGGCTACAAGTACTTACTGCTCATCTAGAGGATCCAAGTTCAGTTCCCAACACTTGTGTACAGCAGCTCACAGCTGCCTTTAACTCCAGCCACGGAATCCAACTCCCTCTTCTGCACATATGTGGCATACATTTATGTATATACATGCATGTGCATGCGTGCACACACACAAATACAACACACAAATAAGAATAATGAAAATAAAATTTTTAAGTTAGAAAATAATATTCCTCAGGCAGGAAGTATTTCTAAAATGCAGACTCTGAATTAGTAGGCCGGATATGGGACCTGTGGTGCTAATGGTACTGGTCCAAGAACTACACTGAAACAGCAAGGTTGCACTAGGATTTTTTAGGTTAAAAACAAAAGAAAGATGCACATGTAAGTCTTTTTAACATGGCAGAGAAAATTAGACAGGTTCTTTTTTATCTCTCATTCTGTACAGTTCGTCCCATTGATTCAAATGTGAGTCCTGCTATTTCCATCCATGAGATCGGTGCTGTTGGAGCAACAAAAACAGAACGAACTGGAATCATGCAGTTAAAAAGTGAGATAAAGCAGGTAATATATAACCTGAAAAAATATTGATGTAATCATAATTAATAATATTCTTAGCTGGGTGTGATGGTGCATGCCTATAACCCCACATGCAGGGCATAGAAGTTGGAGGAGCAAGAGGTCAAGGTGCGACAGCCTCAGCTAGAAAGCAAGATGGAGGCCTGTCCAGAATCCTGGAGAGGCTGTCCAAAAACAAAATCAAAACCAAAACATTATTTTAGAATCAAACTTTGTTAGAATAATTTATTTAGTTTCATATCCTCGGTGTAACTTGAACCATTTATTTTTCAGGTGGAATTTCGTAGACTGTCTGTCTCTACTGAGAGTCAGGTGAAACGACAAAGACTTTTTAAACATATTTCAAGCAGCCTTCAATTCCATATAGCATGCATGATTATGAGCTTTCCACAAGTAATAACAAGCCATGGAATCTCCCTCATAGCTACTATTTCTAGATAGCTTTCCCCTTTTTCTGGATCAAATGACTTAATTTTTGGAGGAATTGTCGCTGGCAACAGATAACAAGAAACCCTGGGTTCCCTTATTACAAGTAATGTGTAATTTATAATGTATTTTCTTTATAAAAGTGATAGACTTCCTGCTTTTAAGAATAGCTAGTTGGAGAAATAGATCAGCAATTAGGAGCACTGGTTGCTCTTGCAGAGAACCTGGTTTTCTTTCTTAGCACCCACATACTGGCTCGCAACAGTCTGTAACTCCAGTTCCAGGAGTTTTGGTGCTGTCTTCCACTGCATGCACATGGTACACAAATGTATATACAGACAAAATACTCATATGCATAAAACACAAATAAATCTTTTTAAAAATGGGGGCCAGAAAGATGTCTTAGTGGGTAAGAATACTTGCTGCCAGGTTCAGTTCTCAGTACATCCATGGTGGCTCACACCTGTCATTAACTGTAGTTCAAAATATCAGGTGTCCTCTTCTGGCTCTATAGGCATCAGGAACACATAATACTACAATATGTACATGCAGGTAAAACATGCATACACATAAATTTTAAAAATATATTAGTTACAGGTGGTGCACGCCTTTACCCCAAGTAGTCAGGAGGCAGAGGCAGGTGAATCTCTTGAGTTCAAGGCCAGTCTGGCCTACAAAGAGAGAGTTCCAGGACAGCCTGGGCTACACAGAGAAACAATGTCTCAAAAAAAAAGGTACTAGAGAGGATACCAGATTAGATGAAGGCTTTGTTTTTAATCTCTTTTGGCGGGGTTAACATGTGCAAAGCCCTGGGTTTCATCCCAAACACCATAAAAATAAATGACAGGATGGTTTTATGAGATTTTAACACAAAATAGGCTTTCTAACTACTATAGGAGAGAACCATTAAATGATACATACATATGAAGAGGAGGAACAGCTGCACAGGACTAGGAATCAATAGGAGTCACCAAACGATATGGCCTTTCACTGTAGGAAACACTGAATGACTTAGTGCATTAGTCAAAGAAATACCTAATAGCTTTTAAAATTCTGGGAAATCATAGTATTTTAAGATGTCCAAGTTGAGAAGGTGCTAATTTAATCCCTTCTAGTAGCGCTACTTTTTTACCATTTGAGAATTTTGCACGTGCATATAGTAAGTACATTTGATCAAGTCTGATCCTCAGTCCTTCCCTTCCACCTTCTCCATGTGCCCCTCCACTCTCCTCTCACAACTTCATGTACTATGTTTTTCAAACCCATTGAGTCCACTGAGTACTGCTAGTGGGGCGGGGGGTTGTATGGCTGTCTACTGAAGCATGAGCAGCCTTTTAGGGGCCCCATCCATAAAGGGAACTGATGTTTCTTCCCCCAGCAGCCATCAACTCCCGATAGCCCATCTGAGAGTGGAGTTTCTGAGCCCCTCCCTTTCCACGCTTAGATTTTGGCAGACTTGATTTTATGCATGGTATGAGTTCATGTGTGCAACAGCTGTGCCAGTTCTGGAAAGCACTGTTCCACGGTGTTCTTTAATCTTTCCACTCTCTCTTCTGCAGTGATCCCTGAGTCTTGAGAGTGTATATATAATATAGATGTCCCATTCAGGGCTGAGCACTCCACAGTCTCTTATTCTCTTCATGAGACCCAGATGTGGGTCTCTATATTAACCACCACCTACTGTAAAAAGAAGCTTCTTGCACTAATCTTGGAATGAACATGAGCACTTAGGGGGTAGTCTGATGCTATGTCCATTTAGACGGATGACGGTAGTAAGTTCTCTCCTAGGGCCTATGACCTAAAGACTATACTTGCAGAGATTATTTCTGTACTTATTAATAGCACTTCTTAAGAAAGACTTAAAACCCCTTCTGCTTTCAAAGTGGAATTATAGCAGCCTACACATTAAAAATATCCTGGATAGAAGAGGCAAAACAGATATTTTGTTTCTTTTAAAAGGGGGCCCTGAAGTCATTCAGGAGAATATGCCAGTGCTTGAAGCCTACTTTTGAAGAAAACTTGAGTACTTTTCTTAAATATCCTCTGGCGTTCATATTTTATACAAGGAACGATTGTAATAAGAAGATGGTCTGGAGAGATGGCTCAGTAGTTAGGAGCACTGGCTGCTCATCCAGAGAACCTGGGTTCAATTCCCAACACCCATATAGTATCTTACAGTCTGTTACTCCAGCCTCCGAGAAGCTGGCACCTTTTTCTGGCCTCTATGGGCACTGTATGCATGTGGTACACAGACATACATGTATGTGAAATACATTCATACTCATAAAATAAAAATATCAAAAATAGCTTAAAAGAAAAAAGGAGCTACTCTGTTTTTAACAAGTGTTCATGTTACAGTTTTTGCCAGGAAATTTTAATTACCTGAATTTTTTCCTATTTGAGAGTGGAAAGGTCAGCTTTAGTGCTGAAAAGTTCTTCATCGATGTGATTAGTTAGTGATCCTAGTTTGGGTTGACAGTGACAATAGTTTGGGGGTTTGTTTTGTTTTCTTGTGACAAGGTCTCTCTATGTAGCCTGGCTGTCCTGGAATAAACTCTGTAGACCAGGCTGGCTTCCTACCTCTGCCTCCAAAGTTTTAGAATTAAGGGCATGTAACATCACACCCAGCTCACATTATAGTTTTTATAGATGTCCAGTATTATTATAAATTCTTTATGTGATTGGAACTCAAAAGTCCGTGATGCCAGCTAGATGAAAATGATGGTAAACTTGACCTTTCCAGCTACTTGAGGGTTTTCTCCTACATATTTACTACCTATAGGCCTTCAAAGGGGCCCAAATTGTTAGGGCGATAATATAGAGGACAGAGAGACTAGATTGTCATTACTTTCTTATTTTATAGCATTGTTTTTCATCCTTACCTGCCCATCTGGTATTTTGTATTTTTTTTTCTGCCAATTCCCAGTACTCTTAATTTATAGGTGAAGATATTTCAGGGTAGTTTTTACTTATTTTATTCTTTGCCATGGCATTTGAAGTAAACATATTTTATTGGCTCTTTTATAACATGCTGGATAATTACTTAAATTGTCTGTAGTTTAATAATATTAATAATTTTTTAAACAAATAATTATTGCCTTGCCTCTCTCTTTAAATTTTTTATTTTCTCAATTTCTTTTATAGACCAGTGGTGGTCATCCCTCTGGTGTAGATTTGATGTCACCGTCCTTTCTGGTAACTAATCTTTTGTTATGTCATGTTACATCCACAAGTGCTTTGATATGCTGTTATATGGATCATAAGAAAGTATTTGAGTATATACAAAAAAACAAATTAGGGACTGAAGGAATGGCTCAGTGGTTAAGAACACATGTTGCTCTTGCAGAAGTCCTGGGTTCCATTCTCAGAACCCCATGGTGGTTCACAGCCATCTTTAACTTTCAGGTACTCCTGTGGTATGATTCATACACATAAAATAAATCTAAAACTAAAAAATCAATAATTGAAAACAAATTGATCTTGAACTAACATGACTATAGATCAATTCCATATAAAAGGGAGCAGTCTATTTCTTTCCTGATAAGGTAGGAAAGGGAGTTCAACTCCAACCTCTTTTTTATTTCAGAAAAATAATCAATTAAAAAGTTTTGTTATGTATATATTCATTCTTTGAACTGATGAAAGTGTGCATCAGACAGTGGACTAGACAACATCAACATCAGTTTGTAATGTATTTGAAAAAACCCTGTCTCAAAACGATGTGCTAGACTTTGTTGACTCCCATGGGAAGCCTTACCCTCTCTGAGGAGTGGATGGGGGGGGCGTGGAGGGAAGGTGGAAGAGCTGGAGGAGAGGAGAGAGTGGGAACTGGGATTGGTATATAAAATGAGAAAAGATTGTTTTATTAAAAATAATTAATTTTCAAAAAAGAAAGTAAAACCAAATTTTGGTCTGTATCCTAGTGATAGTGAACTAGAAAGACTGGGCTAAGCCCCAGCAGTCTGTTCTAATCCGCTCTTTAGGGGTCCTGATGCACTTTTAAATTTCAAAGTTACTCTAAGAAGTAATTTACTTAGTAAATGTGAACTAAATGCCAACTTTATGTCATACACTGGAGATATAGCATTGAACAAAATGGAAATGACTCGACGAAGCGCACAATTTAGGAAGATTCTTTTCTAAACAAATTTTTTGATTTTTGTTTTTTCTACTTTATTAGAACATAAGCTATGAAATAATGAATTTGATTATGACATTTTCTTGTACATATAAGGTACTTTTATCATCTACATTTGTCTGGTTTAAATTATAACAAGTTATGATTTAATTTCTCCCAAACTGAAGAAATTTAGAAGAGATCTATTGAAAATACTATTTTGAGTAACTTTAAGCAAATACCCAGCATTAAATAAGGAGGAGTTTGCCAGCTCTGTGATTTCCATGTTAATGATGACAGCATTAATGGATTTGGAAATTTAAAAAGAGAAGTTATTTTCTTGGAAAGTATTTCTATAATCCTTTATTTTGTGTTTATTTCTGAATCTAATCTGTCAAATAATCACTTTAACCAATGAATTTCCTCTTTTATTTAGCATAATTTTTCAGGGTTCTTTATATTGTTATAAATATTGCTATTTTATTCATTTTTATTGCAGAATGATAATCATTGTATTGTTACACCACATTCTCTTTATCTGTTTGCTCATCAGTTGATGGGTATCTGAATGGTTTTATGCACAGTGTTGCTATTAACCTTTATGTACAGATTTTTAGGTAGGTATGTGTCTTAGGGTATTTATTGCTGTGATAAAACACCATGCCCAAAAGCGATTTAGAGAGGATTATTTAAATTTGCATCACAATTCAATCACAGTCCTTCCTTGAGGGAAGTTAGGGCAAGATTTCAAACACAGCAGGCACCTGGAAGCAGAAGCTGCTGTAGAGGCCAGGGAAGAAAGAGCACTGCTTACTGGCTTTCTTCCCATGGAGTGTTCACCCTGCTTTCTTACATAGTTGAGGACCACCTGCCCAGGGCTCGCACCACCCCCAATGGGCTGGGCCCTCCCTCAATCCCTAATTAAGAAAATGCATTATAGGCTTTCCTATAGCCTAATTTTTTTTTTTTTTTTTTGGTTTTTCGAGACAGGGTTTCTCTGTGGCTTTGGAGCCTGTCCTGGAACTAGCTCTGTAGACCAGGCTGGTCTCGAACTCACAGAGATCCGCCTGCCTCTGCCTCCCGAGTGCTGGGATTAAAGGCGTGCGCCACCATCGCCCGGCTCCTATAGCCTAATTTTATGAAAGCATTTTTTTAATTAAGGCTCCTTCCTGAATGACTCTATCTTGTGTTGAGTTGACACAAAATTAACCAAATCTGTGTATTTTCATTTCTCTCAGAGTATAGTTATGTTTCCTGTCGCTGTGAAAAAAAAATACCTAACAAAAGTACTTACATTCACATATATACATATATAAACACTAATGGATAGATAGGATAGACGCATATAAGAGAGGACATGCAGCATTTGTATTTCTGAGTTTGGGTTACCTCAATAATTTCCAGTCATATATATTTCCTACAAATTTTCATAATTCATTTTTCTTTGCAGTAAAGTTCCATTGTGTGTATGTTCCATTTTCATTATTCACTCATCCCGTTACCCTGCTGTGGTGGCTAGACTAGCAATAAACATGACTGTACAAGTTTATGGTGGGATGTAGAATCCTTTGGTTAGATGCTCAGAAATGGTATAGCTGTGTTAAATGGCAGTTGTCTTTTGTCATCTTTTGAGAAGCTGCCACAAGGATTTCCAAAGTACCTACAGTCAATAAAGGCTCCCCTTCCCCCACCAGATCCTTGCCAGAATTTATTTATTTATTTATTCATTCGTTCGAACATTTTTTTTTTTTTGAGACAGGGTTTGTCTGTATATTCCTGGCTGCCCTCACTTTATAAACCAGATTAGCCTCGAACTCACAGAGATCCACCTACCTCTACCTCTCCAGTGCTAGGATTGAAGGTGTGCGCCACCACCATCATCAGACTCTGTTTTCTTAATGATAGTCAATTAGCCAGTGACTCAGAATGTCAAAGTAGTTTTAATTTGCATTTCCCTGATTCCTTAACCATTTTAAATTGGGCTTTTTACATTTTTGGGTTACAAGGATTCTTTTTATATTCTAAATGCAGCATCCTTATAGAATATGTGATTTGCATATATTTTCTCTTTCTGTGGATTTCCTTTACATTTCTATTTATGTTCTTTGAAGAACTAAAGTCTTCTGTTTTAACTTCCATTTTCTATTTTTTCTTATGTCATTCACATCTAAGAAATTGTTGTCTAAATCAATGCCACAAAAATTTAATGCTGTTTTGGACTATACACTATATTTTAACAATTTTATTAAAATAGCTTTAGCCCTTACATTTGGGGCTATGATTGTATTAGGAGGGGGAACTCCCTAAGACCATCTCCAGCCTCAGTAATTTACTAGGAGTCACAGAATTAATCACATAATCATAAAGGTATGATTAGTACATCAAAAGGATAAACAAAATCAGCAAAAGAAAAGGTACACTGGGTGAAGCCCATGGAAAACCACACAAGATTCTAGAGCGCTCCCACAGCAGAGCCATAGAGGATGCATTACAACCCCTCCAGTGCCCTGTCACAGCGTAAGTGCAGTGCTGTGAGCAGAATAGCTAAAGACCCAGCGCAGAACCCAGGCTCTTTGTTTGGGACTGGTCATGAAAACAGCCTCTGTCCGGCATATCCCCAAACTCCAGACTCCCAGGAGGAAAGCAGATGTTGGACATAAACTGCAGTGTTGACATAATCCCTCCCAAAGGCCACATTTCCACACTGCAGCCCAAGTGCCAGACCTGTAAAAATGACTTGCCAGAACAACATTCCTGTGTTCTGGTCTGCCTTGTTGACTCTATTTTTAACCACTCTCAAGGGCAGGCCCCATGGCAACATAAATGTACTCCATGAATTTTTTGGTTTTGAGTTTTTGGTGTTTTATTTTTCTGTAGATGTAATGTTTTGTTTGGTGTGGGGATTTTGTCTTACTCGCCTTTTGCTTGTTTTGATTTTCCTTTTTGTGGTTTTATTTGTCTCAGGGCTCTTTGTCTTTTTTCCCCCAAACAATTCCTTTGGGCTCTCATATTTGCATACGGTGTGCAAAAGCGTGCAGCTTCATTCTTTAGCATGTGGATGGCCACTTATTTAGCACCATTTGTTTCAAACACAATTTCTCTCCCTTCTAATGCTCTCGGAACTTTTAGTGCCTTCACTGTCGTCCATCGTGGACTCTTAACCCTCTGGAACCGGAGCCCAATTAAATGCTTACTTTTATAAGTTGCCATGGTCACAGTGTTTTATCATAGCAATAGAAAAGTAGCATACAGAGACTTATGTTAAAAGTCATAGACAGATAGAAGTTAGATTAAAGCCGATAAACAGACAATGTCCTGTATTATTGGTATTTTTATCATTGCTACTCTGAATCACCAGAGTACTTTATAAAATGATTGTACATTTCCCCAGGGAAGAGCACAACAATTAATTATCCACTATCAAATGGTCAGCCCTAAAAACATACATTCGAGTAACATTATACAGACTGAATAGGTTGTATTTTTTATTGATTTTGTTGAACTATGCATTTTTCTCTGCTCCCTTTACTTCTCCCCTCCCCTGCAACCCTCTCCAAGGTCCCCATGCTCCCAATTTACTCAGGAGATCTTGTCTTTTACTACTTCCCATGTAGATTAGATCCATGTATGTCTCTCTTAGGGTTCTCATTGTTGTCTAGGTTCTCTAAGGGATTGTGATTTGTGGGCTGGGTTTTTTTCTATTTATGTTTAAAAACCACTTAGGAGTGAGTACATGTGATAATTGTCTTTCTGTGTCTGAGTTACCTCACCCAAAATGATGTTTTCTAGATCCATCCATTTGCCTGCAAAATTCAAGCTGTCATTATTTTTTTCTGCTGTGTAGTACTCCATTGTGTAAACGTGGCACACTTTCCTTATCCATTCTTCAGTCGAGGGGCATTTAGGTTATTTCCTGGTTCTGGCTATGACAAACAAAGCTGCTATGAACATAGTTGAGCACATGTCCTTGTGGCACGATTGAGCATCCTTTGGGTATATACCCAAAAGTGGTATTACTGGGTCTTGAGGAAGGTTGTTTCCTAATTTTCTGAGAAATTGCCACACTGATATCCAAAGGGGCTGTACCAGCTTGCATTCCCACCAGCAATGCAGAAGTGTTCCCTTTTCCCCACAACCTCTCCAGCATAAGTTGTCATCAGTGTTTTTGATCTTGGTCATTCTTACAGGCGTAAGATGGAATCTCAGAGTTGTTTTGATTTGCATTTCTCTTATGACTAAGGATGTTGAACATTTCCTTAAGGGTCTCTCAGCCATTTTAGGTTCCTGTGTTGAGAGTTCTAGAGCAGGTTGTATTTTATATTTAGAATACATATATGTATATGATGACAATTAAAAAGAGGCCACCAATTTGAAAAGGAAGCAAAGAGGGACATATGGGAGGCTTTGAAAGGAGAAAATGGAAGGGGGGAATGAAGTAATTATACTATAATCTCAACAAATAAATGAAATAATTTTAAATGTTTATACAATGTTACAACCCTGCAAGCTGTAGTCACATCGTTACTTTGGCTTTCTCGTTTTATAGAGTATTTACTATTCTCTTTGCTATATGTTAGAGCGTGCAGGTTTTCAATTTAAAATATAACTGTTATGATACTTGATCATAGGGGCAGTGATCACTTTGGATTTACTTTTTTTCTTCTCCCAAGTCACCTGCAGCCTGTATTGCTGCAAGTAGTGGATCCTTTTTTACTGTGGATGGTCAACAGACATCTAAAGATAGTCGTCAAGGTCAATGGCAACGGCGGAGAAGACTAGATGGAGCACTAAATAGAGTACCAATCGGATTTTATCAAAAAGTATGGAAAATTTTGCAAAAAGTGAGTGTAACACAGTGTTGTTCTTTATTCCCCTCTTAAAATCATGAATCTGTCTTGCTGACATGTGGCATAACCATTACATGACAAAAACAGGAAAAATTGATTGATCACTGTGGCATTATTAATAATTTACTCTATTGTTCTTATTGTTGCAGTAGTATTTTTTCTTTTTCTTTTGTTTTCTTTCCCCTTTCTGGTATTTTTGAGACAGGGCTTTTCTGTAGCTTTAGAACCTGTCCTGGAACTACCTCTTGTAGACCAGGCTGACCTCAAACTCACAGAAATTCACCTGTCTCTGCCTCCCGAGTGCTGGGATTAAAGGTATGAGTCACCATCACCTGGGGGTATTGTTTCTGAATAAGGTTTTAAAAATCAGAACCTCTCTGTTTGGGGTCATAGTTGAGCACTGTGAGATTTTGCACTGTATTTGCTGCCAGTCAATAATGTGATGCTGTGGCTCGCTTTCTTTGTTGTTATTATGAGAGTGGAAATGTTATTTGCAGCTCTAAGCTGTTCATATCCATTGTCACTACCAAAAGTAGGTGGAAGCAAGAATGGTGGCACACGCCTTTAGTCCCAATACTCCGGAGGCAGAGGCAAGTTGATCTTCGAGAAATCCTGTCTCGACAAGGAAAACAACAAACAAACAAAACAGTGAAGTATATGGGGAGTTTGCAGAAGTTGCTCTTACTGATATTTTTTCTTAGATGAAAACCACTAAAGTAATAAAAAGCTGCAATGATACTAGCAGTTAAAGAACACTCTTGTTTTATTGTTAATTTTTTATATTTAATCATTTTATATATGTGTGTGTATACACACACATACATACATACATGCATTCATGTGTGTGTGCATATGTGGTACCAACAGAGGACAGAAGATGTCATTGGGTCCTTTGGAACTAGACTTAGAGGAAGTTGGTTGTGAGCCATCATGTGGGTACTGGAGACTGAACTTGAGTCTTCTGCAAAAGTAGTAAGTGCTCTTAACCTTTGAGCCAACTCTCCAGCTCTGATTTATTTATTTGGAGACAGGGCTTTGTTATTGTCCAGGCTGGCCTCCAAATCAAGATCCTCCCACCTTAGCTTCCTGGAGTCCTAGGATTGCTGGCATGCACCACCACTCCAGGCCTAAATAAAACTCTTGGTGTGATTAATATTTGTTCCTGTTTCTAAAGCATACTTTATAAACGACTTGTAAGGGCATATCACGTCATTATGGTAGTGATAGGAGACGGCCAGGAAGACCATTAAGTTCATTGATTGGTCTCATTTATACAAATACAGATTGGTTTTTCTCGTCTGAGATGAGTCTCATATATCTCAGGCTGGTCTCATTGTAACCAAGGATGACCTTGAACAGATGCCCTGCCTTTACCTTCTGACTGCTGGGATTACAGTTGTGAACTACCATACTCATTCATTCATTCATTTATTTATTTTACCAAAATCAAAACCCAGACTTAGGGTCTTTTTTTTTTAAGTTTATTTATTTATTTAGTATACAGTGTTCTGTCTACATGTATGCCTGCAGGCCAGAAGAGGGCACTAGATCTCATTATGGATGGTTGTGAGCCATCATGTGGTTGCTGGGAATTGAACTCAGGTCCTCTGGAAGAGCAGTCAGTGCTCTTAACCACTCTCTCCAGCCCCCCAGACTTAGGGTCTTAAAGTAAGAGATAGAACACATGCCTTTCCAGGCATGAATGTTACAATAATTCTAACATGTTTCAAAGCTACTAATTGTCTGTACAGAGATTACTTGAGTATGGAATATTGCATGTAATTGTCCAAAAGAGCCAATAAACCTGTCACTCATATGTGGTTGCTTTATATAGTGTTTCGGCATTTTTGGAATTTAAAGTATGTGATTAATAGAGTAAAGAATTTGAATGTATCTGTTGATTCAGGTATGGTGCTTCACACACGTACTTGAAGGCACTAGGGAAATGAAGGCAGGACTTCAGTGTTCAAGGTCAACCTCAGCCACATAGTGAATTTGAGACAGATTAGGTGACTTGTAACCACGTCTCAAATAATAATAATGATGATAATAGCATTTATTGAGCACCTACTGAATTCCAGACTCTGTTGTAGGTGTTCCTATGAGAAAAGTCTAAATAGCCAATAATTTCTGTTCTTGTGAAACTTATATTACTTATAATAAGTAATAAACAGTAAATAATGTATTTAAAATGTTAAAAAGTGGCGGAAGAATAGGACAGGATAAGAGCATTAAGAAGGGACTCAACTACAACAAGTAGAAATGGCTCACGTACATTAATATCTACTGTGAGTCATGTCCGGCAGCCTCAGTCTCTTGAAGGCCTATCTGCTTTCTTAAAAGTGTGTGTGTGTGTGTGTGTGTGTGTGTGTGTGTGTGTACATGATCGTGCATGTGCGTACGCACACTATGGTAGGAAGCACATACCATAGCATACATGTGAAGGTCAGAGTACAACTTTGTGGAGTAGGTTCTCCCTTTCCTCCCTTGCTTGGGATTATGGGAGTAATCTCTTTTTATTGGACTTGCTTGGCTGTTGGCAAGGACTTTTTATCTGTCAAGTCATCTTGCCAGGCCTTGAAGGCCTCCTGGTAATGACTCTGGGACCTGCATGATACTCTTCTAGGTGGTCTCTGAATCTGGTGTCTAGTCTATCCCAGAAAGATTGACCCTGCCCACTCCACTACCCTAAGAAGAGGATGAACTATGGTAGTCCCATCCTAAATCTTGGCACTTAGAAATCATGAACCCATTCTTGGGCACATGGACTACAGGACCTCCAGCTGGCCTGTGGTTGCTCAAATCATAACCTTATTAATATGAAGTCTCTCCTTCTTGCCTCCCAGCTCTTACTTCATCTCTGGTCATAACATGTTTTTCTACCTTGCAGTGTCATGGACTTTCTGTGGAAGGTTTTGTTCTTCCTTCTTCAACCACAAGGGAGGTAAGATTCTGTCCTTTACATATACATGATGGAAAGCTCGCCTGTCTGAAATATTTCAGTTATCAATTATGAAATTGATATTTATTGAATTTATATTATTGAAACTAAATATATCAGTTAGTTGTCAAAGAAACAGACTTATCCTTTTATGAATCAATTATAGTGGTATATTATTTGTGTTTTAATAAATAAAGCTTGCCTGAAGATCAGAGGGCAAAGCAGTCATACTAGTGAGCCATACAGGCCAGGCAGTAGTGGCGCACACTTTTAATCCCAGGACTTGGGAGATAGACACAGGGATCTCTGTGTCAAGGTCACCCTGGGCTATATGAGATTGAATCTATCTAAAAGAGAAACAGAGCTCACACAGCATTTGGGATCGCACACCTTTAATCCCAGCACTAAGGGGGTGGAGAAAGGAGCAATATGGCTGGGCAGAGAGAGGAATATAAAGGGGAAGACACAGGAACTCAGTGGAGTCTGAGCATTGTGGTCTAGAGCACTGCAGGATCACCCCTTTGTCTGAGCCTTGGTAGAGGTAAGATCTCTCTAGTGGCTGGCTGCTTTGCTTTTCTGATCTTCAGCTTGAATCCCAGTATCTGTTTCTGGGTTTTTACTACTCATGCTGCAGTCAATTGACTATAAAATGCATGAAGGAGGTAAAAATGGAATGGGAATATTAGACAATAATAATATGGTTCTAGTTTTGCTGAGCGAGCATGAGGACTTGAGTTTGCATCCCCAGCACCCATGTAAAATAAAAATGGGCATGGCTGTGCAAGCCTGTAATGCCAACTCAGATGTAGTGACAGGTGCATTGCAGGTGCTTGCTGGCCAGTTAGTCTAGCTGAAATGGAATACTCCAGGTTCAGTGAGAGACCCTGCCTCAAAAAAAAAGATGGAAAACAATTAAGAAAAGCATCTCATGTCAGCTTCTGGCTTCCACATTTACCCACCTACATACATGTATATAACAGACACATACACACCATAAACATGGATAATTATTTGTTTTATTAATAAGAATAGCTTTTTGCAGTGACTAAGTTTTTTCTACGTGAGACTGGAAGTTGGAGAAGGCAAAAAGGCTACAAACATAAGAATGAATGGCTTCCTATATTGTCTCATCTATTTCACCCCAACCTTTCTCCAATAGGATACTTGTAGACCTGTGCTGATATTGACATCTAATCATATTTTAGAGCAGTGGTTCTCAACCTTCCTAATGCTACCACCCTTTAATACAGTTCCTCATGTTGTGGTGACCCCCAACCATAAAATCATTTTTGTTGCTATTTCATAATTGTTATTTTGTTAGTTATGAATTATAATGTAAATATCTGTTATGTGACCCCTGTAGTAGACTTTCTTGGACTGCCAGCCCCCAAGTCATGGCATGGAGACTTATTATTAAGTATGAATGCTAAAGCCTTAGTTTATGCTTGTCCCACTAGCTCTTGTAATAACCTGTTTCTCTTCATCTGTGTTTTGCCTCAGGGCTTTTTACCTTTCTTTCATTCTGTATGCCCTACTTTCCATGCTTCTGCATCTGGCTGGCTGGTGATGTCTGACTGGGTGGCCCTGATGTCTCCCTCTCTTTCTCCATAATTCTCATTCTTTCCCTACTTTCCTCTCCCTCCTCTATCCTCCCTCTCCCTCTTCTTTCCTCCTCCATCTCCGTCCTCCCACTCCCTCCTCCCTCTCCCGTCTCCATCCTCCCTCTCCTTCTTTCCTCCTCCGTCTCCGTCCTCCCACTCCCTCCTCCCTCTCCCTTCTCCATCCTCCCTCTCCCTCTCCTTCTTCCCTCCTCCGTCTCCGTCCTCCCACTCCCTCCTCCCTCTCTCTCTTTCCTCCTTTCTCTTCCTCCTCTCTCTCCCTCTCCAGCCTAGATCTCTCCTCCTACTTATTCTCTCTGCCTGCCAGTCCTGTCTGTCTCTCTTCTGCCTAGCTATTGACTGTTCAGCTTTTTATTAGACCAATCAGATGCCTTGGGCAGGCAAAGCAATACATCTTTACACTGTTAAATGCAGCATAAACAAATATAACACACCTTCACATAGTTAAAGTAATATTCCACAACAGAGCCCTCCCCAAGGTCACTACCCACAGGTTGAGAACCTCTGTATTAGAGTAACTTTCTTTCCCAACTTAGTGAATTAGAGTTTCCAGAGAGGAAACTTGAGCATTTGTAATTTTTTAATCTATAGACTAACACTGATAAATAATCATGGTTGGAAGACATTGCCATGAAACACAGACACTGGTTATCAGATGTTTTGGTATTTTGTACTAACAAGCTAGGACTAGTAAGTTTAGAAAATATAAAATTCTCAAAAACTGGTGGTGGTGCCAGTATCAGCTGGATGTGCCAGGACTGAATGCTAGTGTAATGTCTTAGACCTCTACTGTTGCATACAAGCCGTTTGTGTAATAAAGAATGCCACACTGCCTGCGTAAACAGGTGTATTCTGTGCATTTAAACAGTGTTGAAATATTAATTGTAAAAATGTAAACCTAATACCTTTAGGAGTCTTCAAAGAACTTTCACATTATTTAATTTGATTTTTCAGTTCAATTTTGTAAGACACCTAAGAAGAGAATGTCTTTCTCAGAAAGTTTATAGATAAGGAAACAAGCTTAGAGATTTCCAAGATATGCAAAGTCATTTGCTCCTGATACAAGTTTTTAACCTGTCTTTAGACTCCAAATATACTTGCTTCTATAGAATATAAACAATACAATTTTACCAAAAAGCATTTCTCCATCTACTTTACCCCAAAATAACTGCAGTTAAAATTTTTTAAATTTTTAAAATGTGCATGAGGGTTTTGCCTGCATGTAGGTATGTGCACCACATGCATGCCTGGTCCCTGTGGAAGTCAGATGGAGTTGTAAGCCACCTGAAATGGTTGATGGAATTGAACTCAGGCTCTCTGGAAGAGCAATCAGTGCTCTCTTAACCACTGAGTCATCTCTCCAGCCCCATAACTGCATTTCTTAAGGTCCGTTTTATTCTAACAGTCTGTAGCTACTTCACATAATTCTACTCATTATACACACACACACACACACACACACACACACACACATATCATTTCAAGTTTGACTTCAGTGCTTTCTCTCTGGGTCATAGATTTAGTGTCATAAATAGCTTCATAAAGCCTCATGAAGTTACTATAGTATGTCATAATTTATGTATTTATTGCCATGTTTAGGTTATGTCAAGTTTCACATGTGTGACTGATGCTACCATAAACATTAGTACACATGGAGCTTTTTCTTCTCTGGATTATTTCCTTAGGACAAACTCCCATAAATGATATTCTGGGTTAGAGGGCATTGATACTTTTTTTTGGCATTGATACTTTTATGACTCTTGTTATACATTACCAGATTGTGCCAATTTACACCATTTCATTAAAGGGCTGCAGTTACCGGACTTTTTACTGCTTTTCAAAGAAAAGGTTTTCTAGAAATTGATTTTCACTTTTTCTATCACAGATGACCCCAGGCGAGATTAAATTCTCTGTCCATGTGGAGTCTGTCCTGAATCGTGTACCTCAACCAGAGTACCGCCAGCTTCTGGTTGAAGCTATCCTTGTCCTTACCATGCTGGCAGATATTGAAATTCATAGCATCGGAAGCATCATTGCTGTGGAAAAAATAGTACACATTGCCAATGACTTGTTCCTTCAAGAACAGGTAGGCTGCCTAATGTGATGCACACTGCAGTCACAGCATCTGGGAGTTGCAGGCAGGAGGATTGGCAGTTCAAGGCCAGCCTCAGCTACATAGTGAGTTCAAGACAAGATTGGGCTACATGATACCCAGAACATACAACAAATGTTTCCTTCTCTTACCCACTGTGAAAGAAGACAAAAGTATCCAAAATTTTCTAAACAGTCCTAGTTTTAAGTGTTCTGGGATGTTATCAGGCCATATATGAGAAAATATAAACCATTTTAGACATAGACTTGAGATTTAGAATGTCTACAGTGTTTGTGAATTCAGGTGGTTTAGAAAGAAATAGAACCAAATACTATATGGAGGAATACAAGCCAAAATCAGCAGTACTAGAAGGTGGAAGTCCCGGTGTAGTTCTACTGGGTTATCTCCAAGTGTTAACATTATTTCTGTTATTAACAGACATAAATCATTTAATCAATTATTGATATTTAATTTTCAAAAGTGCTTTATAATAGAAAATTCTAAGTAGTAATTAAAATAATTTAGAGTCTAGTGGCAAATGCCATGTGTAGAAATTCATATCCATCCTTCATAACCCTAAGCCCCCTCTGCTTATACAGCCAAAGAATAGGCAATGGGAAGGAAGCTCTGAGGTGTATTCATCAGAGTTTGGCTTGGTAGGATTGGTAACCTTTTCTTCCCACTGTTTTCCCATCTTTTAAAACCAAATAGAAAACCCTTGGCGCAGATGACGTCATGTTGGCAAAGGATCCTGCATCTGGCATCTGTACTCTTCTGTATGACAGCGCACCCAGTGGCAGATTTGGCACAATGACCTACCTCTCCAAGGCAGCTGCTACCTACGTGCAGGAGTTTCTGCCACACAGCCTCTGTGCCATGCAGTGAGGGCTGTGGGTTCTGGCTGCTGGAATCCTTTCAGCATCTGGTCCCTGTGTTGGTTGATTGTGCATGGAACTGAAATGTTAACACCTGACCACTCTCCATCCCTCCCAAGAAGAGAGAACTTTGCTGATAATCTCACTACTTTTGAAGAAAAGAACCCTCACTTGGAGACTCACTCCAGTGTAAAGGTTCAACTGGGTCTACAATCACTATCCTTGCTTCTTTTATGGTTCAGAAATGTCTGCATGTGTTTTTACTCTGTAGAACTGTTACCAGCTTTGTTTTCTAACTCCTTTTGAGGAACAGGTATTAATAAGTTATTCTGAAGACCTTATTCTTATTTCTGGGCTTCCTTTCTTTTTTGTGTATATGAGTGGTAGGTCTTAATTGGGTCATTATTTCAAGAGAGTAGATGCTAAATTGTTGGATTTTATACTGCTGTAATTTTGAAATGTCTATTTTAAGTGCCTTAAGAAACACCAACACCAGATCATGGCTTCCTTCTTCACTCGAAGGCTGATTCATTTTGAGTGGTGAAATAGTTTCTTTGTCAAATATTGCCTTTTGATGTTGACCTTTCTATATCTGCCCATGTTGCCTGCTCTGTGGTGAAATATTAAAAAGTGTAAGCTCACATGTAAGTTTAAGGATTTCTATGTTAATACTTGAAGTCACATTTTATGAGGACTGATGCTACCAGGCACATATTTGAGGACACATGGAATAACCCAGAAAAAAATGGAGCCAGGAGCCCAATTCCAGAGAGGAAGGGAAAGGGGAGGTTATGCAGGTGGTGCTTTACACACAGGGAGTCAAGAGACCACCAGAGGCAAGTAGGTTAATCCTTGCTGGAGCACAGCCCACATACAACACAGAGAATAACTGAAGCCTTGAGCAAAGAGAAACCCAGCAGTCCAGTCGGAGCACCTCTTTCCTGTTCTTTTGTTCTCCACCTCACCTATTCACACCCCGCCACACTCAAATCTCTCCTTCTCATCTCCCTCCTATCCCATATCTGTTCTTCAATTCTTTCACCTATGTTTGTTTTCACTTCTCAGTTATACTACTTATATCCTTTAATCTTGGTATCTGTGGCCAAATATCTATTCTTATACATATTTCTGTGTGTTTGTAATGGTTAAATAATTGTATTTTGAGTGTGTCTGTCCATCTCTACATTTAATGGATTGAATAACCATGTGGGTAACATTGCAAACCAAGCCTGGTCATACTCATTGCTAATCTGAGAACTTGAGAGGCTGAAGCAGGAGGATCGTGAGTTCAAAGCCAGCCTGGGCTACAAAGCAAGCTCCAGGCAAGCCTCAGTATGAGACCCTGTCTTGAAACATTTTAAAGCATGGGAGCTATGCAGCTGGCCTCAGATTGACACACAAAGGATCGCAAAAATATACCTTCCATCCCATTCTCTGGTCCCATGTATAGGTAGCCTGGCTTAGCAGAGGTTTTCTTTGTTTTCCTTGTTTCTACTCGACTCCTCTTTCCCTCAGAGTTTTAAGGGTTTTCTCCCAGAACAGTAATGAGTATGATGGGGCTAGTGAACTCAAAACAGTCACAGAATCGGGAACAGTCTTCCAGGCACACTGTCCAAATGCAGTGAGCTAGCAAACGGGTGGTAGAAGCAAAGGCAGGGTGGCCCCCTTTCCCCTCTCACAGCCATGGGAACACACAGTGAATAGCTTTCTGAGTGCATGGTTTTCCGGTCACTTTTGAGGAGAACATACAACCTGTTTGTCTCTTCACAGCCTATAAGTACCCTAGTCACGGGAAACACACCCAGCACTGCTTGTGGGAACTGCCGCTCCTTCCTGGACCTCTTTTCTTGAACTGACTCCAATGCCTGCAGTTCTCTGGAGTTTCTGACTTGTCTGTTGATGGAAAGCCCAGGCAGTGGCATTTAATTTCTAAAGTAACTTTCCAGAAAACATTACTGGTATTTTGTTCTTTTTTTCTTTTGTTCTTATTTTTTCGAGACAGGGTTTTTCTATGTAGCTCTTCATGTCCTGGAACTCACTCTGTAGACCAGGCTGGTCTCGAACTCACAGAGATCCGCCTGCCTCTGCCTCCCGAGTGCTGGGATTAAAGGCGTGCGCCACCACTACCTGGCTAAGTATTTTGTTCATTTTAAGAGTGTTAATATGAAGAAAGAAACATGATGGAACTTTTTACAAGCACTTTATGTTTTGAAGTTAGAATAAAGAATAAGAATTTACTGTGTCTGGTGTCACTGCACAAAACTTTATATGTTTTTGTGATTGAAGCTAATTAATTGCCATTTCACATAATGTTTGGATATATTATATACTCAAAGCTTATTAACTGGGTCAAATTAGAGGAGCATTTATAGACCATACATTATTATACCGCACATATGTAAAAAAAAAAAAAACAACATAGGTTTAGTGCTTTACACAGTTTACTAAAAATATAGAGTGGATTTTTACTTCATTTCAACTCTATGAGTGGTATTTCTAAACTACTAGAAAGAACTTAAAATAGTTTGTTCTTCTAACTATTATCAGTATTTGACATAATATTGTTTAAAGTACTCATTGGTCATTTCTGTAACAAGAGAGTTCTTAATCCAGCAATGGCAAACAGCGTCTCTACGTCCCCTGATTAGATAGTTTAGTTTTACCACATTCTGAGAATTTGATGCAACTAGCATGGCAAAAGTTGTCACCTTTAGTCATGGTTCACAGAACTGTGTGCATGTGTATGTATATGTGTCTGCATGTCAGGTGCATGTGTATTATCATGCTGGTGTATGTGTATCATGCTGGTGCATGTGTATCATGTCAGGTGCATGTGTATCATGCTGGTGCATGTGAATCATGTCAGGTGCATGTGTATCATGCCGGTGCATGTATATCATGCCTGTGTATGTGTATCATGCCAGTTCATGTGTATCATGCTGGTGCATGTGTATCATGCTGGTGCATGTGTATCATGTCAGGTGCGTGTGTATCATGTCAGGTGCATGTGTATCATGCTGGTGCGTGTATATCAAGTCAGGTGCGTGTGTATCATGTCAGGTGCATGTGTATCATGCTGGTGCGTGTATATCAAGTCAGGTGCGTGTGTATCATGTCAGGTGCGTATCATGCTGGTGCATATGTATCATGTCAGGTGCATGTGTATCATGTCAGGTGCATGTGTATCATGTCGGGTGCATGTGTATCATGTCAAGTGCATGTGTATCATGTCAGGTGCATGTGTATCATGTCAGGCGCATGTGTATCATGTCAGGTGCATGTGTATCATGCTGGTGCATGTGTATCATGTCAGGTGCGTGTGTATCATGTCAGGTGCATGTGTATCATGCTGGTGTGTGTATATCAAGTCAGGTGCGTGTGTATCATGTCAGGTGCATGTGTATCATGCTGGTGCGTGTATATCAAGTCAGGTGCGTGTGTATCATGTCAGGTGCGTATCATGCTGGTGCATATGTATCATGTCAGGTGCATGTGTATCATGTCAGGTGCATGTGTATCATGTCCGGTGCATGTGTATCATGTCAAGTGCATGTGTATCATGTCAGGTGCATGTGTATCATGTCAGGCGCATGTGTATCATGTCAGGTGCATGTGTATCATGCCGGTGCATGTGTATAATGCCGGTGTATGTGTATCATGCTGGTGCATGTGTATCATGTCAAGTGCATGTGTATCATGCTGGTGCATGTGTATCATGTCAAGTGCATGTGTATCATGTCAGGTGCATGTGTATCATGCTGGTGCGTGTGTATCATGTCAGGTGCGTGTGTATCATGTCAGGTGTGTGTGTATCATGCTGGTGCATGTGTATCATGACAGGTGCGTGTGTATCATGTCAGGTTCATGTGTATCATGCTGGTGCATATGTATCATGTCAAGTGCATGTGTATCATGTCAGGTGCATGTGTATCATGTCAAGTGCATGTGTATCATGTCAGGTGCATGTGTATCATGTCAAGTGCATGTGTATCATGTCAGGTGCATGTGTATCATGCTGCTGCATGTGTATCATGCTGCTGCATGTGTATCATGCTGCTGCATGTGTATCATGTCAAGTGCATGTGTATCATGTCAGGTGCATGTGTATCATGTCAAGTGCATGTGTATCTTGCTGGTACATGTGTATCATGCTGGTGCGTGTATATCATGTCAGGTGCGTGTGTATCATGTCAGGTGCGTGTGTATCATGTAAGGTGCGTGTGTATCATGTCAGGTGCGTGTGTATCATGTCAGGTGCATGTGTATCATGTCAGGTGCATATGTATCATGTCAGGTGCATGTGTATCATGTCAGGTGCATGTGTATCAAGTCAAGTGCATGTGTATCATGTCAGGTGCATGTGTATCATGCTGCTGCATGTGTATCATGTCAAATGCATGTGTATCATGTCAGGTGCATGTGTATCATGTCAAGTGCATGTGTATCATGTCAGGTGCATGTGTATCATGCTGGTGCGTGTATATCATGTCAGGTGCGTGTGTATCATGTCAGGTGCGTGTGTATCATGCTGGTGCGTGTGTATCATGTCAGGTGCGTGTGTATCATGTCAGGTGCATGTGTATCATGTCAGGTGCATGTGTATCATGTCAGGTGCATGTGTATCATTCTGGTGCATGTATATCATGTCAGGTGCGTGTGTATCATGTCAGGTGCGTGTGTATCATGCTGGTGCATATGTATCATGTCAAGTGCATGTGTATCATGTCAGGTGCATATGTATCATGTCAGGTGCGTGTGTATCATGTCAGGTGCATGTGTATCATGCTGCTGCATGTGTATCATGCTGCTGCATGTGTATCAGGCTGCTTGTGTATGTTGTCAAGTGCATGTGTATCATGTCAGGTGCATGTGTATCATGTCAGGTGCATGTGTATCTTGCTGGTACATGTGTATCATGCTGGTGCGTGTATATCATGTCAGGTGCGTGTGTATCATGTCAGGTTCGTGTGTATCATGCTGGTGCGTGTGTATCATGTCAGGTGCATGTGTATCATGCCGGTGCATGTGTATCATGCCAGTGTATGTGTATCATGCCAGTTCATGTGTATCATGCAGGTGCATGTGTATCATGTCAGGCGCATGTGTATCATGTCAGGTGCATGTGTATCATGCTGGTGCATGTGTATCATGTCAGGTGCGTGTGTATCATGTCAGGTGCATGTGTATCATGCTGGTGTGTGTATATCAAGTCAGGTGCGTGTGTATCATGTCAGGTGCATGTGTATCATGTCAGGTGCATGTGTATCATGTCAGGCACATGTGTATCATGTCAATTGCATGTGTATCATGCTGGTGCATGTGTATCATGTCAGGTGCGTGTGTATCATGTCAGGTGCATGTGTATCATGCTGGTGTGTGTATATCAAGTCAGGTGCGTGTGTATCATGTCAGGTGCATGTGTATCATGCTGGTGCGTGTATATCAAGTCAGGTGCGTGTGTATCATGTCAGGTGCGTATCATGCTGGTGCATATGTATCATGTCAGGTGCATGTGTATCATGTCAGGTGCATGTGTATCATGTCGGGTGCATGTGTATCATGTCAAGTGCATGTGTATCATGTCAGGCGCATGTGTATCATGTCAGGTGCATGTGTATCATGCCGGTGCATGTGTATAATGCCGGTGTATGTGTATCATGTCAGGTGCATGTGTATCATGTCAAGTGCATGTGTATCATGTCAGGTGCATGTGTATCATGCTGCTGCATGTGTATCATGCTGCTGCATGTGTATCATGTCAAGTGCATGTGTATCATGTCAGGTGCATGTGTATCATGTCAAGTGCATGTGTATCTTGCTGGTACATGTGTATCATGCTGGTGCGTGTATATCATGTCAGGTGCATGTGTATCATGTCAGGTGCGTGTGTATCATGTCAGGTGCGTCTGTATCATGTCAGGTGCGTGTGTATCATGTCAGGTGCATGTGTATCATGCTGCTGCATGTGTATCATGTCAAGTGCATGTGTATCATGTCAGGTGCATGTGTATCATGCTGGTGCGTGTATATCATGTCAGCTGGGTGTGTATCATGTCAGGTGCGTGTGTATCATGCTGGTGCGTGTGTATCATGTCAGGTGCGTGTGTATCATGTCAGGTGCATGTGTACCATGCTGCTGCATGTGTATCATGTCAAGTGCATGTGTATCATGTTAGGTGCATGTGTATCATTTCAAGTGCATGTGTATCATGTCAGGGGCAGGTGTATCATGCTGGTGCGTGTATATCATGTCAGGTGCGTGTGTATCATGTCAGGTGCGTGTGTATCATGTCAGGTGCGTGTTTATCATGTCAGGTGCATGTGTATCATGCTGGTGCGTGTATATCATGTCAGGTGCGTGTGTATCATGTCAGGTGCGTGTGTATCATGCTGGTGCGTGTGTATCATGTCAGGTGCGTGTGTATCATGTCAGGTGCGTGTGTATCATGTCAGGTGCATGTGTATCATGTCAGGTGCGTATGTATCATGTCAGGTGCATGTGTATCATGTCAGGTGCATGTGTATCAAGTCAAGTGCATGTGTATCATGTCAGGTGCATGTGTACCATGCTGCTGCATGTGTATCATGTCAAATGCCTGTGTATCATGCCAGTTGCATGTGTATCATGTCAAGTGCATGTGTATCATGTCAGGTGCATGGGTATCATGCTGGTGCGTGTATATCATGTCAGGTGCGTGTGTATCATGTCAGGTGCATGTGTACCATGCTGCTGCATGTGTATCATGTCAAGTGCATGTGTATCATGTTAGGTGCATGTGTATCATTTCAAGTGCATGTGTATCATGTCAGGGGCAGGTGTATCATGCTGGTGCGTGTATATCATGTCAGGTGCGTGTGTATCATGTCAGGTGCGTGTGTATCATGTCAGGTGCGTGTTTATCATGTCAGGTGCATGTGTATCATGCTGGTGCGTGTATATCATGTCAGGTGCGTGTGTATCATGTCAGGTGCGTGTGTATCATGCTGGTGCGTGTGTATCATGTCAGGTGCGTGTGTATCATGTCAGGTGCGTGTGTATCATGCTGGTGCATGTGTACCATGTCAAGTGCATGTGTATCATGTCAGGTGCATGTGTATCATGTCAAGTGCATGTGTATCATGTCAGGTGCATGTGTATCATGCTGCTGCATGTGTATCATGCTGCTGCATGTGTATCATGCTGCTGCATGTGTATCATGTCAAGTGCATGTGTATCATGTCAGGTGCATGTGTATCATGTCA